TTTTGAAATAATAGAATAATGAGAGACGAAAATAATCAATCTATTGTAAGTGTAATATAGAAATAAATAGTGAAGTATCGAATTTTCGAAGATGCAAGACCAATATTGAATGAGTGAGTTTTTTCAGTTCTGTTCTACTTTTGAAAATCGAACTAAAAGAGATAACAGGTTTCATTCAAGACTTTAGTTAATAAGATATTCAGTCACTCGGAAGAGTTTATAGAGATAGGAAAAAATTGTAAAAGACTAGCAATGTTCAGATTTCCAAAAGAAAAATTTCCATAACCTGTAATTCCAGTTTGAGAAATTTCCAAGAGTTGTATATCTCAAAATTTCCGAAAATATTCTCCTTTGTCTTTAATCTGATTTTGAAAACAAATGGAAATTTTCGTAATTTCCTTTTCTAGAAATCTGAACATACCTCTTCTTGGATCGTAATCTATGAAATATGGTCTTTCAAATATGATAAAACAGACTTGAATCATTCTCTCTCTGTTTTCTGTTCTTAACGATACGGTTTATTCATGTGCGATCATATAATATTAGTGAGAAAGTATCGATATCAATACGTCTCTTGATATACTAGTTTTAAGGAAAAGAAAATATATGAACTATAATATATGTTAGAAAAAAAACGTGTAAGTTTCCATCGCAACACGGTACGAGCTAATGATGTGTCAAACAACAGAAGTAATAAATTTTTCGTCTTTAATAAGAGCATTTACTCTTTCGCATGTTCACACGATAAAACATTTTTTGGACAAATCAAAAACTAGAATACTATTCTTATACAAAATGAAAAAGTGGATTTCGTGTTTTTATAGCACTTATATAAGTAAAGAATTATTACATACTTCTTAACTAAAAAGTCTTAGTATTATTGTTATCTTAAGAGCAAGCAGACTTTTATTTTAAATCGTTTTCTAATTTAAGTAAAAATTGTTGAAGCTTTATTCATATTGATGCAACCATCAAGAATGAACATAATTGTTCTGTTTTTATTTTGTTATGCCAGTCATTTTACTGATGATCAGTAATGACTGAACCGATAAAGAGAAATAAAGTACGAAATATATTTTATTTTAGATAAAATGATTACTAAAATAGAAACACTACCTAATGAAATTCTTCTTAATATTTTCTCTTATTTCCCATGGTTCGATATATTAACATCTTTATGGTCGTTAAATTTTCGGTTGAATTCTCTTGTATGTTCAATTCTTTCAATAAATGATAATCAATTGAATAGTGGTCTTCTTATTACACATGGTTTATCTTATAATAAATGTTGTTCAATATTATTTCCATTGATTTTAAATTCCTCATCTCTTTGTTCTTCTATTCAACGTATTCATTTTGATGAAACAAATTCAATTGCTTCTGATCTTTGTTATCAATGGTTGTTTAATGATAAAAATATCCTTCGTTTTCCTAATCTCAAATCATTTATTCTTACTCGATGTGGATCAATCGAACCAATAATTCAAAGTTTAACTCATCTTATTGAACATCAACTAGAGGAACTTACGTTAACATTTGATCATCAAGTATTCAAACGGTTTTTTTATTCAAAGAAATATTCCTCAATAACTTCCAGTGAAGGTAATCAATCGTTTATTTAATCGATTCTGTAAAATAAAATAGAGTATGCATCTATTTTGAAGATATCATTCTCAATTCGAATAATTTACATTTCATATGAAATCGTTCACTGAAAAATTCTAGGTAAAACCGCTCATTTAGTGTTCATCTGGTTAAAATATGTGCTTCTAAAAAGAAAATCTCCTCATTCTATCGTCTACTTTCATACCTAAATGACTTCTCAAAGCGAATCAATTAGGTATCCAATGCTACTTCGAATCATTTCGGAACGGATATGCAAACGATCTGTTTATATAGAACAAAATCCTGTCAGTCTAAGGACTTGTGTCAGATAAAAAATGTTAGAATCTATAAGTAATCGCTAATGTGCATTATATAATCGATACTTTTTTATGTTAATATTTTCAATTGGATCTTTATAAAAGAAAGTGTCTCTAGATGGTGTCATCTTCAACATAAGATATATATTTATTTTTTGAGAATACGCCGAGTTTACTCTGTTAAAGAGAAGGTCTCCAAACCTTTTTAGACCCTAAAACATTCTAAGTCATTCTATGGCAGTATTTATTGAAATTGATTTTCGACAACAAAGAAAAGGTATTGTAAAAAAATATTAGAACCATTTTACTTTTTGCAATATCATTTTTAGTAAAATACAGAATTTTAAAATATTCTACAGGGATTCTATTTTTTGATGAGAAAATATTTATCTCATCCATGATTGAGACTATTGGAAAAGGAGTTAGTTGAACCCCAACTAGAAACTTGTCTGATATAGGTTTAGTTATGACTATTTCACGAGAGTTTCTCTCGATAGCAATGTATCAACAAATATCAAATGTCACCAGTTCACCCTGAAAACTTTTAAATCGACGTCATGTTATTTCCAACGGGAATCTTTAACTAAAACAAGCAGTCACTTCTCCTAATATCAACTTCTAGGATTTTTCACTTTTTGAGACATCTTATAAAATTTTCATTTTCAATTTTTCATGCCTAAGAAAGGATTGGCCTGTTTGAACTGAAATGATATGTTGTAAGTCTTACAAGATCTCTTGAATAAATTTTCAGATTGAAATTTATGTTTTCTATGTGTTGAGATATCCTTCTATTGAATAAAAATTCTATAAATGGTCACCTAACTGAATCATACAGAAGCATGGGAAAGAACCAATATAGACTTTTCTCTATAAAAATAAGTTCCATTCGATAAGAAAAGTCTCTACTTACCATTGATTTATTACTGTGTAAGAGATTCTATCATCATATAGACGATAGAAATTATTTATGATAAGTAAAAATATACAATTGAATAATT